AACATTTTGTGCAAAGATGGACATGATAAAGGACAAAAACGGAAGGGACCTCACAGAAGCAGAAGACATCAAGCAGAGGTGGCAAGAATACACAGAGGAATTATACCAGAAAGATCTTGATGTCCTGGACAACTTAGATAGTGTGGTTGCTGACCTCAAGCCAGACATCCTGGAGAGTGAAGTCAAGTGGGCCTTAGAAAGCTTAGCTAACAACAAGTCCAGTGGAGGGGATGGCATTCCAGTTGAACTATTTAAAATCTTAAAAGATGATGCTGTTAAGGTGCTACATTCAATATGCCAGCAAGTTTGGAATACTCAGCAGTGGCCAGAGGATTGGAAAAGATCAGTCTACATCCAAATCCCAAAGAAGGGCAGTGCCAAAGAATGCTCAAACTATCGTACAATTGCACTCATTTCCCACGCTAGCAAGGTTATGCTCAAAATCCTACAAGGTAGGCTTCAGCTACCTTGGACCAAGAACTCACAGAAGTAGAAGCTAGATTTCGAAGGGGCAGAGGAACATGAGACCACATTGTTAACATGTGCTGGATTATGAAGAAAGCCAAAGAGTTCCAGAAAAAATCTACTTCTGCTTCATTGACTATGCAAAACCCTTTGACTGTGTGGACCACAGCAAGCTAAGAAAAAGAAAGTTGACCGCCGAAGAATTGATGCCTTTGAATTGTGGTGCTGGAGGTAGCTCTTGAGAGTTCCCTGGACTGTAAAGAGAACAAACCTATCCATTTTGCAGGAAATCAACCCTGAGTGCTCACTGGAAGGACAGATCCTGAAGCTGAGGCTCCAATACTTTGGCCATCACATGAGAAGAGAAGACTCCCTGGGAAAAACCCTGATGTTGGGAAAGTGTGAAGGCAAGAGGAGAAAGGGACGACAGAGGACGAGATGGATGGACAGTGTCATCGAAGGCACCAACATGAATTTGACCCAACTCTGGGAGGCAGTGTAAGACAGGAGGGCTTGGTGTGCTCTGGCCCATGGGGTCACGAAGAGTAAGACACCAATTAATGACTAAACAACAACAAAAATACTTTTGTTGAGCCTTCCTCAGAAATATTTGTAAGTTATACCTAAATTATATGCTTGAAATTTTGATACTTAATATATCTTTCCAGCAATTTTCCAGAGGCAATATTAAACCGACTGATCTATAATTTCCTAGCTCCTGTCTCATTCCCCGTTCGTTTTGGTTAACCTAGCTCCTCTTAAATATTCTCATACTGAAGCTATCTCTATAGGTCTTTTATATTATTTTCTAAATATTTTTTCTATGTACTATATTTCACAAGATATTCATTTTTAAAATGACCACCTTGCAACTGTAACTGATCCCAGAAGAGTTTCCAGATGGGCGGGCTCTCAAGTGTGGCCAATTTACCTATCAAAGATTATTTATTAAAAGACATCGTCACATAAAACTTTGTATTATTATTCATCAGTAACGGCCAGCCAACTAATACAGCTTTACGACGCGAATGAAAACAAGACCGTAGACTACTCTACCTCGCAGGGTTGCTGTGAAGATAATTTTTGGATTAACCCCTCCTTTGGATTAAGACCGTCAGGGTACAGATTTGAAAAATAAACGCAGCAGCTTGCAAAGCTTTTGTCCTCGATATGCTTCCTTCTTTTCGTCCCTTCTTTCCTCCCCGATCCCGTTAGGGTACTCACCACCGCCCTCGACAACAGGCAGGCAAGGTTACAGACCCTGTAACCAACAACCGACTCCGTGACCATGGCAACTGGAGCCTCTCCCCCTTTCCACCGGGCGCTTAGTTCTGACGTCATCCGCGCGGTTTCGTAGCCGAAGAGCCTTCGAGGAAGATTTCTAGCGATGGCGGACGGGAAGCCTCCAGAGCCTCTGGAAATCGAAAACAGGTGGGGCTGTGGGATTTTATCTTTAGCAGGGAAAGCTAATGGTGAAAGCACAATTGGAGGGCTCTTGAAATGTGGGACAGAGAGACTCGTCTGTCCGGCTGCCTCATAGATCGGAGCTTCGTTGTATTTTCTAAATCAGTGGTTCCCAACCGTGGGTAATTCTTGGACTACAACTCCCAGGAACCCCGGCCGGCACAGCTCGTGGAGAAGCCTTCTGGGAATTGCAGTCAAAGAAAACTTGGGTTGATGCCCAAGGTTGGGAACCACTGTTTTAAATTATAGCGTAGAAATCTGTATTGTGAAACTGAGTAATGCTGTCGCCTTGTCCCTGTAGCATATATGGTGGGGAAGAGTAGGAATTGTAATGGTATATCTTGTCTTTTTCTTTGGGAGCCTGTCGGTAGTTTTAACCATGATAAATGGACCTTCCATGTTCAGAAACAGTTGGTCCACATTTTGGTTAATAGGCATGTTTTTTTAAATCCTGCCTATAGCCTGCGCAGATGACCACTATGGGGATGACCATACAAGATGAAAGGAGCCGTTCACCAAGGACAGTAGGGCTACTTTTCGGGTTGTAGGTTTTTATCTTGTGTTTCACAAGCAGAGGAGGATAAAAAGTTGTCTTTGTCTGAAAATCTTGGGACAACTTAAAGTAAAACCCTAAAGAATGTCACTTGGGTGATAAACATTCCAAGATGAAATAAATAATCCTGAAAAAGGTTTGAGCAAAAATGTTTTTTTTCTGGTGCCGAAAAAATTGGAACAGTCACCCTCCCAAGAATGTTTGAAGAACAAAGTCCCAAACTGTTTTCCACATTTTTATGTTTATAAATTTATCATGTCCCATGTTTAAATCTTACGTTCTAAGTCAGGATCTGACAATGTATACTTGCCTTCTGTACTGTAGCGTTTAATTCATCATGCTTCTTTGATAATATCAATTCACATCCCTTTAGTAACCATTCTCTGTTCTTCCAAAGCCGCTGAGAGCTGGCTTCTCTGAAGTGTGCATATTCAGTGATAGAACTCCCAAAATAATGGTTTCAGTATCACCTGTTGAACACGTGGAGTCAGTGAGACAGAGAAAATCAAGTATCTTATAGAGAGACAGGAAGCAAGGGAATGTTGGGTAACATAAATAAGATAATTTGTTCTCTGTTTACACCAGAGTTGCTAATAGTGGATTTTGGTATTTTGTTTTGTATGTCAAAGGAATATAAATAATGCTGTTTTTCAACCCATTCTGAATTTGAGGTCTTGTCTTCCTCATGGCATAAACGGGCATGTGGTGAGGCATCAAGATGTTATTTGTTCTTGTTTCCCTGAGCCTTACTTTGCTCATTTTTCACCACAAATTTACTCTCTAGGCTAAAAAAAGATGAAATTACCTAGTAGTGGGTGTGCTATTAATTTTTCCATGGCAAACATGCTAATTTTGAATGTGCTATTATCATTGTGATAGAGTATAAACTTCAGGATTATTGTAGTAGGAAAAGCCTTATAGTGGGAGATGCCAGAGTCTAAAGATCATCTTCTGTTTTGAAATTAGTGGAGGCTCTTTGGTGTGTCCCAAACTCATGTGGGTCTTTTGTGTATTTATGTAAATCTGGATTTGGCACCTTGAGCTTTAAAAAGGAAAGGTAAGGAGTTAGTATTTTAAATCAATAAATCAGCTTGCATGTTTGTGAGTACAGTAAAGTGTCTGATGATCCTTTCTTTGCTGTTTCTACTATGCCCAGAATCATTGAGCTGTGCCATCAGTTTCCTCATGGCATCACAGACCAAGTGATTCAGAATGACATGCCCCACATGGAAGCCCAGCAGCGGGCCATGGCCATTAACAGGCTGCTTTCTATGGTAAGAGTTTCCCTGGTTCTGTGAAAATCTTTGCTTTGCATGCTAGATCTTTTAAAAAGCAATTCTGCAGCAGTAGTCTGAAATGAAATGTTTATGCTATTTTGAGAATTTTAGAGTAACAGATCCTTCTGAGTAATAGGAATTGCTGAACTAACTTGCTACCCTATTTTAACAGTGACAGAATGATCAAGATATCACTGTTATAGCATATCTGATACACTGCACACACAAAGCAAGTTCTAATGCAGTTGAATAAATTTATATAATGGACAATAGCAAATCCAGTACTATGTACCTTGCATTGCAGCTCAGAAGAGAACTGTGGTCCAGTATGGGTCTCTGGCAAATGTTTGCTATACAAATGCTATAAATGGCAAATGCTTGCTAAATCAATTGGCAAACACATACCCCTGTGATAATTTTCAGACTGTGCGTTCCTTAAAATGTAGTCCATCCTTCACCATTGGGCTAGATGGGCAGGGTATAAATCTAATAAATAAATAAATAAAAATAAAAGTGTTATATCTTAGGGAGAAAGCTTTCCTTTTCCCCCCTAAACAAATGCAGTAATAATCTAAAGGAGTCTTATAGCAAAATACTTAATATTATATTCATCTAATTTACTATTATAAATGTACATATTTCATGTTGTTTCCTAAACTGAAATTTCAACATATGGCAAAAGTAATGTGATGTGTATCTTATTAGGGACAACTGGATCTCCTGAGGAGCAGCACTGGCCTTCTTTATAGAATCAAGGAATCTCAGAATACTGGGTATGCGTTGCTGTTGAAGAATCCATACTTATAAATCCTTTTTTCTCCTACTACTATATCTACCAAGTTCTTAATAATACTCATACTGTGGTGTGGAGGATCATATAAAAATAACTCCTAGAAAGAGATGACATTTAGTAACACCTAGACTAGTAGAATATGTTTAATCACTATTAGCCTAAAAAAGTATGATCACTAATTTATCTGGTGTAGGATGTGTGGAAATCAAAAGCAACAGACAAAAATGATGAAATAGCAAAATAATTAGCAAATGTTAGGTGATTTCAGTTTTAGAAGGAAAATCAACCTTAGTACGGGTTAGTACGGGTTCCCTTTTGATATTTAAACTATAATTTCACATTGATGAAATCTACTTGAGTGTTCAAAAACTAAGCTGTTTCTCTCTTGCCATTCTGCAGTAAAATGAAGGGATCTGACAATCAAGAGAAATTGGTGTATCAGATTATAGAGGATGCAGGAAATAAAGGTAGTGCATGTTTACTTTTCCCTGTGGTTTGCTTTACTACGCCTCTGAAAGTACCATATGTAGATATTTTTTTAAAGCAGCGTGGTCCATTCCCAGAAGCAATGGTCTGAATTAGGCTGTTAAAAAGTTACAAATAAGGGGAGCATTCAGAGTCTCCAGAACTTTTCATCAGACAACGATTGTGTAAAACGGGCCTCAGGCAGAACGTTCCAAAATAGGATCAGATGTCATGCCCTTGGCTCATCCAGTTAGCTGTCTAAGAATGTTGTATGAGGTTTTAGACAGTGATAACTAAGATGCCAATTTGCAGGTTCTCCCATCTTACTGAAGACAAAGACATAGTTTGCCCCCCTCCGAGAGATCTGGCAGTTTCTTTGAGCAATGTCAGAGACCTCTGAAGTAAATATAGAGCAGAAAAATACAGAGGTAGTGTCTTCATGTCAATAAAATAGAAGAATGAGTTTAGGGATCATAGTAGGTTGAAAAGGCAGTTGCTGCTAACTGCTGGATAGCTCAGTGGCTTAGGGCTCTGTCTGTGGAGCCAGAGGTTGGGAGCATGATTCCCCTCTGTACCTCCAGCTCTGCAATTCTAAGATTATTTATTGTTATTGTTATTGTTAGTAGTCAATAGAGGAATTCTCATTGGAATGCAGTCTCTGGAAGATCTCAGTGCAATAGATTGTCTCTTATATGGCTCATCGTTTTATGTCAAGTTTAATTGCTCATGTTTTATAGTATCTTTCTCTGATGAAGAGTTTTGGAGAACTTGAAAGCTTGCCTTATTTGTAACTTTTTATTGATCCAATGAATGTATTGACTTAACCCAGAAATTTACCACACTGTAGCTAATTCTTGAGTTCAGTTTTTTAGTGATTAATTTTACTTGTGGAAATGATGCTGGAACAAATTTTTCCAAGAGACATTATGTTTGATGATGTGTGAGAAATAGTTACTGCCAAAGTTTTGTCAACAAAGACATAGTTAATCTCCATTCTTCTTGATTTAGAGACTCTCATGTCAGTTCAAAGGATAACAAATAATAATAATAACAACAATCTTAGTAGTGCCGAATTGGAAGGGATCCTATGTAACATTTCACCCAGTCTCTGTCAATAAGGCACAGTGGGGCATTAACTATACTACTTTTTAAACAGGCAGTGGACTTCTTACCTTTGCCAGGGCAGTCCTTTCATTCACCTTTGCAATGAAAAAAGAGTTATTGTGATACCTTGCTCCTTAAATTTTGCATTGAGAGGGGTGCCAGTCCACCTATGTAGAGGGACCATCTTCCATTTGCTTTGTGAATAGTAAGGAATAAAAACCTCTTATTTCTGACAGTAGCTGTGGATATTTATTTCTGTATTTTATTTATTTCCATTTCTGTACCACCTCATTAGTGTTACCACTCTCCGGATGGTTTACAGTGTGCAATAAAAACATAACAACACAGTATAATAAATACACCCCCCCCAATAAAATACAATAAAACCTTCTCACTAACTGAAGCTAATTTAAGTAATATGCATAAATTAAAACCTATCCGAATATCTCAGAACAAATTTATATTAGTAGAATGCAACTTTGTATAATTTAGCCTTAATTAGCTTCCTAAAAACAGAGAGGAATGGTGTCTGGCAAATTTTTGTAGGGGAATTTAGCCTTAATTAGCTTCCTAAAAACAGAGGAATGGTGTCTGGCAATTTTTTGTAGGAAGTTTGTTCCAGAGGAAAGAGGCTCCAGCTGAGAAATCTTGATTCCTCAAGTTGGGTTTTTTTTTTTGCCTGCTTAGGTGTTACAGTTCTTAACATCAAGAACTGTAAGGAGCATGTGTGACAGATAGCCAAATCTAGAAGTTATGATTAGCACCTTAAATTGAGCACAGAAACTAACAGGGAGCCAATGAGGGCATGCCAAGACTGAGGATGTGTTTTCGTATCTGCTGGTACCTGTAATCAGTTTGGCTGCTGCATTTTGGACCTACTGAAGCTTCCATACTGACTTCAAGGGCAGTCCTACATAGAGAGCATTACAGTTTTAAAGATTATTAATGCATGGACCACTGTTGTTAGGCATTTCCTATCCAGGTAGGGAGACAGCTGGCAATCAGCTGAAGCTGATAAAAAGATGTTGTAACCCAGGCAGAGAACAATTGTGAGGAACCAGGTCAATTTGTTCAAGCTCTGAACCTATTCTGCCTACTGAAATGGAGTAGAACGTGTCACATATATGGTCCTGTCCATTTTTGGTAGGATCCCTTTCCTCATCTCACCCAGCTATGAGGATGCTGGAGGATAGCTGACAGAGCTGTTTTCATCCTCTTGAAAATAATGACCAGATTTGGCCCATAATCATCCATTCCCTACTATTGCTATATCTAATGTTTGAATTGTGTGTTAAGCACTGAGAATTTTAACTCTAAATGTAGTCTTCTGCAAGACTCAATCTCTAGCCCTATCTAACAACATCAAAAACATCTAGCAAAGCCTACTGCAGGCTTGAATAGTCAGTCAGTTTTGCTGTACAGTGAGGTGTGCATTAAAGATAGTCTTTAAGACAGAGGACTGAATTCCCATATCAGACAGGTACTTCACCCCACAGTTCTAAACAGAATGTTTTTCACTAGTAAGTGTGAGGAAGTTAGTCAATAACCTCCCCTTAGTAAGAGAAACATCTCATTGAATTGCCTTTTAGGAGGTTAAAACATTTCTGTGTCTGAATCTGATTTTTTAAATAGCTGGTTTGGGATAGAGACAGTGGTGGAGACTCTCTTTTACTGGAAGTTTTTAAATAGGTTTTTAAATGGCCATCTAGTTGAGATGAGGTAGTTGTGCCTTTCATGCATCAGCAGTGAGGGAGACCAAGTCATCCTTGACATCTTTCAACTCTGTAATCTCATTATTCTGTGACAAGATTTTCTTTAAGATTTTTCTTTACTGGAGCAGCAGCAGCGAATGTGACTCTTGTCAGAGCTTCCATGCATGTAACTCTACTGTATCAGAAACTTGGGGCTCCTTACTCATAACTTAGCTGAGTTAATTTTCTACCTTTTGAAAAACAGGTATTTGGAGCAGGGATATTAGGTATAAAAGTAATCTTCCCTTAACTGAAATCAACAAGATCCTGAAGAACTTGGAAAGCAAGAAACTCATTAAAGCTGTGAAGTCTGTAGCGGTGAGTAACTCATAATTTTGAGCTGTACTGTATATTCTGGGCAAAATCCCAATTGTGTAAATTTATGTAGCATCAGCTTCTACACATAAAATTTAGTTTAAATTAATGGAAAGCTTCCTGTCCCCCTCTTTTAGGTTCTCGGGCTCCCTTTCCCCCCCAGAGAAACCTTTGGGAACTTTGGAATTTAGGGAGGGGAGCCTTTGACCACAAAAAATTGCTCATCTTACAGGTTCAGAGTATCTTTCAACAGCATTTTAATTCATTAAGTAAAATTGCTTTTCTTCTACATTTGGGATTCAAGGCAGCTTGCAGTAAGATAATATATATACAATTAAAACACAAAATGAATAAAGCGTAGAACATGTAAAGGGAAAATACAGTACATATTCAGTTAAAATTCTGGAGCAAGTTATGTGAGTTGCTGAATGCCTATCTGCGTAAAAAGATCTTTGCATTCTGCTAGAAAGGAAATTGGGAGGGAGTTTGAGACCTTGGGAACAGCACTGTAAAAGCCATCAGATGGGCATCTGGTAGTACCTGTATTAGACCTCAAGCTGTTGTTTGAGTAACAAACTGTTCTGTTTGTGCTGTTTTGTGCATTGGATGGTGGTATTTGGGGATTGTCATTGACTTTATCTTTCACCAGGAGTTGCAGCCAATCCTTGTTTCTCTAGCAGTGTACTCGCATGATATACGGTTCTGTCTTTGTCTTATATTTCTACAGTAACAAAGACTCTTTGCAGTACCATTTATTACATAATCATGTATTATATTCATTTGTAAAAAAGAAAACAGTTGTCAGCACTTTGTTAGAGAAAAAAGCTTTCAACTTTTTCAGAGCTTGAGCCTATCTGTAACTATGATCTGTAATGTGAAAATTACTTAATATTTTTACTCTGCCATCCTGCTTTTGTCTATAGGATGCAGAAATGCAACATAGAATAGGGCTCCCATTCTGTCAATGCTTACATAGAAATGATGATATTGTTAGATGGAACTGAGGAGAAAAATAGTTTGCCAGACGTGTATCTTCTATGTGTTTAGGGTGCAAAACATTTTCTAAATCCCATCTCCAAATCCAAAGCCTAAAACAAAAGAATCAGATGTGTTGATTTGGGTGCTCTGACCCACCTAAAGTCAGAGCATGATGCAGTTGAGGTTTCTACACACCAGTAAAAAATGAGTGAATTGCAGAACTATTATAATGAGTGTCTGTAACATCTCTCAGTACAAATATGTCTTTTGTAAGCAATTTTTTCTTAGTTGATGTGAGAGAAAGATATCCATTTCTACCATAGCCTTGTGGATCAAAGCCTGCAATAAACTGGTAAAACACAGTGTGTTCTGTCCCTTTCCCCCTGTTCTCCAGAATCTCCTGGGCTTCTGTTTAATCTTCAGTAAATGCTTTCATGCAATGCTGCAGTAGACACTTTTGCATAGGAAAGCACTGTAGAGGATACTCTCACCATGAACACTTATCAGCCTTTTTTTCCACCCAGGCTACTGCATTTGTAGATGCAACAGACCTGCCTTTTTTCCATGCTACAGTTATCATTAAAGATTAGCCAAGAAAGATATTCCTCCTATATCTAGCTTCTTGAGTCTGATGTTAAGAGAAAGCATGCATGCTCAAAATATCCCGTACAACCCAAGAAGAGGAAATTGTCATGATAAGTACCAATGTTCATTTTTCTTATTGAAGGAGAAGAGGTAAACAAAATCTATACCTTCCATGCAACAGGCTTCCAAGAAGAAAGTGTATATGTTATACAACCTCCAACCTGATCGTTCTGTTACGGGAGGAGCTTGGTACAGTGACCAGGACTTTGAGTCCGAATTTGTAGAGGTGCTTAACCAACAGTGTTTCAAGTTCTTACAGACAAAGGTAAGTGAGCCCGTGCTGCTTCTGTTTTGTCCATGATTTTTTATTCATGATATATGAAGACTGCTGTCCCAAGAACTTAACGAGTTTCTTCTTTTGAGAGCCTTTCCATCATTTTCTTTGAAGTTCTATTTTAAAGAAAGTATTTGAAGTATTTCTTTGCCAGCCAAGTGTTATGAGCTCAGAAACATTCAGGAGGAGTTGCTGGGGACAATCCGTTCTTTTCAGCCGTCCTTGTGTTGCAGTCAGTATTGCTCTTCTTTGTTTTTTTAATTTTGCTCTGTGTCCCATACAAACTTTTGAGAGCCCACCCAAATGTAAGAATAATGGAACAAGGGCAGCATTTATGACAAGAAGTGTAAAAATATTCTGTTACTGTTTCTGGAGTTGTACCTAAACTTATTCTGGGCCGCAGAATATTTCCGTATTCCTTGCTGTATATGCTGGTCTGTTTTGTATTTTGTCTTTAATCCATTTTGAGTGCTTTTTCACAGTTATATGGAACAGGAAAACAACAACAACAAAGACCTGTTCTCTGAGACACAGTTGATGGCCTGTGGGCATATGTCCCTCTCACTGGAGCAGCCAAGGAACAATGTAGTGTTCCCAGGTGTGTTCCCATGTCTTATACAAGTGAGTTCTGGCTGGATAGCTCACTGGTTCAGGGATCTGGCTTGAGATCCAGACATTGGAAGTTTAATTCCACAGTGTGCCTCCTGTGAGTAGAGCCAGCCTGTGTGACCTTGGATAAAGGTTCACACTCCCAGGATGCCCCCAAAGAAGGGAATCGTTGACCACTTCTGAGTATTGTCTACCTGAAAAACCTGGAAAAGGGTTGCCATAAGTCAGAATTGACTTGATAGTACATCATGATGATACTGTTACATACAGCACTGATGTTACCTGTCTGTCATGGGTTTGGAGGGAAAGTTCCATCCTATGGGGAGTGGAAGGCGGGACATCAGGAGGAGGGGCTGTACTGTATATATATGTGGAGCGTGTGTGGAGAGCGATAGGAGAAGAAGCAGCAGCTGGGAAGAAGAAGCTGGTGTGGGAGTCTGTGTGTCAGACAGGGTACTACTGTGTGTCAGTCAGTACCAACCTGATAGGTTCAGGTGTCTGTATGGTTAGCCAGAACTGATAGGTTCAGGGTCTGTGCTTCAAGTTAAGTGTTCTGTGTGAACCAAACTGTGTGCATGTATGAATGAGACTAAGCCACGTTACTATATCTTATTCACTTGATCCTTTTATTTTCCCTGTGTGTTGTTTTAAATAAACCTTATTCTTTTATTTGTTGAAAATCCATCCCTGGTCTGTGTGACTTCTTATAGGGAATGGTTGGTGGCAGCTTAGTTAACGTGTGGCAGATCCCAGTAGGTCTGGGTTTGTCACAGATACCAATGATTTGAAGCTGCTCGTTCTTTTGGGGAAAAATTAACTATCCTAATTGGTGACACCTTTACAATGAGGGGAAAAATCTGTCTGATACCCATGATGGCCATTTTGCTGATTAAAATGACGAATGAAAACAGAGGTCTGCTCTAAATGAAACAGTTCAGAAGTGTCTTATGCAATTGTTTTAAGGTTTGCAGTGTTTGCTGTAAAAATGAAGTCAGCAGAAGGGGAAAGAGGTGTAGTTGTCATGTAATCTAGTGTTACTGTACAACCCTGTGTATTGGCCAAAATCTGATTGTGCAACAATGCGCACACAACTCAAGGTTGTGCCTGTGGTACTTGTACTAGCAGTGAGGCAGAAGTGGAATCCCAAAACAGTTCTGCCAGTACATGGCAGTGCAATGCTGGGGATGCACGACTGCACAATTGAATAATGCCATTCTTTGTTACTGGGCATAATGCTTGGCACTTTTTTGTTGGTGTAACTTTGCATTATACTGGCATGGATAGGTTTTTGTCCATTGTCTTCTCAGAAATTAGGTATATGTGGTGCAGTAAGGCTTTCTTACAGATAACTTCGGGGCTGCAGCCTTTATTTATTTGGTGTTGAAGAATTTCCATGCAGAATAAACTGCCCAGAATAGTGCTTTGTAGTAATGAGGCAGTATGTAAATAAAATAAAATAAAATATATAATAAAATAGTTTCTAGATGCCATATCTACCACCGTCTCTGAAATTACTGTAATCTGGGAATATACTTTCCTTCACAAATGTAGATTTTTCCATTTGTTTTCTTTTCTAGGCTGAAGCAGCTCGAGAAAGCAAACAGAACCCTATGATTCAGAGAAACAGTTCATTTGCATCCTCTCATGAAGTATGGAAATACATTAGTGAGTTAGGAGTCAGCAAGGTGAGGCCATTGTTGGACTTCCTTCCTTTCATTTTCAGCTGTGACTAGTGCTGTGTGTTCTGCAAAATAATGGTTGTACTGTGTTCCACACCGATAATTGGATTTTCTTACTTCATCTGTCCTTCAGTTCTTTGTTGGGTACTCTATTTTTCATAATCAGATTTCTTCTGAAAGTGTTTCGTGAAATTAGATTTCTCCTTCTGAGTAGCTTTTTATTGAAAAAAAAATCTGTGCCTTCTTTTTTAACCAAACAACCAATTCAGCTAGCCTAATGCGAATTGCAGAGTTTCCTTCACTGGGGCCAGTATTATTAACATTTGGCCAATGATAATACCTTTCCCAGGTAGAGTATGGAATGTTTGAGATTCAAATATGTCATTGGGAACATGTAGTACTTAACTGACAGTGAAATAAATCTAAATTGAGTTGCATTGTTTATAAAAGAGTTCAGAGGCGTAGATATCAGTTCTAAAGTTGAATGATATATATGAAATTTGGGGAACCACTAATTGTTATGTGTTCTTAAATCTTATCTGGCATATGGCAGACCTTGAGTTAATATTGTTAATACTTTTCTCAAGACTTGCAAAATCAAGGTTGTAGCTTCCTTTATTTGAGTCAGTCCATCTCATATTTTGGTCTCTTTGTACTTACTGTCTATTTTCCCTAACATTATTCTCCTGCTTCCTGGAGAAAAGCAGCACAGAAATGAAACAAATAAATGAAAATAGAAAATAGATTTTTTCCAGTGAGTCTTCTCACGATATATCCAATTTGCATTGAGTCCAATTTAACCATTTTAGATGTGAAGAGTCCAGGATTGATTTGGTCCAAAATCCATTTATTTATCTTTCTCATGGTCCATGGCATCCATAAAGCTCTCTTCCATGTTGCAGATGAGTCAGCTCTTTCCCTGTCAGCTTTCTTCACTCATTGTTCCGTTTTTACACCCATGAATAGTAACTGAAAATACTATTGTGTGGATAATCTTGACCTCCAGCAGCACATCCTTATACTTGGGAGGTTTTTACTAGTTTCTTCATAACTAGTCTTCGCCGTCTCAGTTCTTTTCTGATATTGTGGCTTCAGACTCTGTTTACATTGATGATTAAATTGAGATACAGAGAATCTTCACAAATGATAAAATCAAAAGTAAAAATAGAACAATACATTACATAAAACAATTGTTCAGGGGTTGCTACCAGAGCCTCAATAGGGACATCTGCTCTAGCCCCACCCCTGAGGATTTGGTTAGAGCAAGTGTTGCTAGAGGCAGCCTGCTCAGTAAAAAGCACTATAAGCAGCAACCTGGAGCCAATGAAATTATCAGCAGGGGATTCTTGAGCCACTAGTTCCACCAGAGGCAGGGGCGGCAGGACTCACAATAAGGCTTCCCTCAAGACATCATTCCTGCTTGAAGAGGCTACTGGTCTAGATGACTTTGGGGTTCCTTCCAACTCCACATTTTTCTGAAATACCTGGGAGCACAGAAGTAGCTTAACCTGGGGCTGAAAACATGCCAATGTCAGGAGATGGCAGGTACCTGGATGCTAGGAAGGGTTCCATGAGGGCTGTTAAACAAGCTGAAACGTAGTATGGTGGAGGTGCTTGGGTTGGTGGCTCTTGGGTCCAGGAGGAACAAAGGCGATGGCTTTTTTGAGGGTATGCAAAGCTGCAAGTGGCCTTGGAGGTGAGGAGCTGTCAGGCTCAGAAAAGTAAGTACTGGCTTGCTGTCAAGATACTGGCCGCCACAAAATGCTCAAAACCCTGAGTCCAAGGCAGCTTCTTCAGTACTTCAACCCCCCCTTCTTTCTAGAGTGATCACACAAGTGAATTTTTTTTATATTAAAGATGATGCAAAAAAGGTAAAGATTTAAAAGTGAATTCAAAGTTTCCAAAACAATTTTTAAAAAGTCAAACAAATCCATAACAGGACATAAGGCTTAAAAAACTATTCAGAGGCTCTCAATAGATTAGGCAATTTCAGAATAATTTTAGACAAAATAATAAAGCTAGCTAGCTTAGATTAATACTCACATTGTGTTGAAGCTGTAGCATAGCTCCAGTACATGTGCAGAGTACAGCGGAATAACTGGTAAACATTACATTCTCTGAAGAGATTAAGCAGAAGCTTGGCAAGAGCTAGCTTGTGAGCTCCATTGTCTGAACTACTTTTATACCTATCCTCTACTTCTGGATCTTTTGATGTTCTCCACCAATCAAATTCCCAGTTGCTTGGAACCTTTTGGCAGCTAGTAACTTTTCCCAAAGTAACTTTTTTCTCATCCACCCTTGGGTCTATCTGAAACAGGGTCTTGCAATTAAGGTACCATGGGAAGAGATTCATTTGGCCTCTGCTCAAAAATGCATGTTATTTTTTTTTAGGTTGAATTGTCTATGGAGGACATTGAAACCATTCTAAACACATTGATATATGATGGAAAGGTGGAAATGACAATCATTGCTGCAAAAGAAGCAACAGCTGGTAGCGTGGATGGACATATGAAGCTATACAGAGCTGTCAATCCAATTTTACAGCCTACTGGTTTAATTCGAACACCTTGTGGACTCTGTCCAGTAAGTTCTTTCTCAGGAATAATATTATGAAGGCAGCCATTTAGCTAATGTGCTTTGTGTAAACTGATCTGGGGTTGTTCAGTGGGCTGTTCAGTCAAATAAAAATGCAGACATGACTACCATACATAATAAATGTTGTAGTGTGGTGAAATTTAAACATACGTGGAACATAATGTAACTCCGGCTGCATTAGTCAGAATTGCATTGTAGGACTTTGGATGAATTGTTCTTGTTGTCAAGACTGTAAAGCTTCATTAGCATTTGGTCTTATATTAGTAGGTGCTGAGCATTTTCTCTGTGTTTATGAATGTATTTATTATACGTACCTACTTTCTACTTAAACATTTTCTCAGCAGTCTACAAAAAATCATAAAAATGTAATAACAGATAATTGAGGAAATAGCTATAAAGTGTAATATTAACAATCCAGGGGGAAAACTAAAGAAATAAGTGAGAAACCGCATTCAAGAAACCCAATATTTGTTAGTCACTTCAGCCACTTTAAATGACATAGGTCTCTGGGGGAGCCCACAGAGTTCTCCTAATATGGGCAGGTTTATGCAGGAGAAGACATTTCCTTAGGTCCCTAGCCATGTAGGAATCTAAAGGCAAACACTGGCACTCTGAACTTTGCTTAGAAGTGGACAAGGAGCCAAAGAAACACTTATAGTACTCTTATAGTACAGTACTGAATGTGTGCTCTACAACATGTCCCAGTTACTAGTCTAGTGGCTGTATTTTAAGCCAACTATGCATTTGTGTACAACTATGCATTTGTGTACTGGGGACAGCCCCAAGTACATAATATTGCAGTAATCTAACCTGGATGTTACCAGAACATGGGCAAACTATGATTGTTGTAGGTTTTTGGGGCTGTTTGGCCATGTCCTCTGAAGATGCTGGCTACAGAGGCTGGTGAAACTAGGAAGAAAAAAAACCCAGAACACAGCCAAACAGCCCAAAAAAACCTACATCAGCCATCGGATCCTCGCCGTGAAAGCCTTCAAGAATACAGTACATGGGTAAACTGTCTCTGTATAAAGGATTCACACTAGCCTTAATTTGTTAAAAGTTACTTGTGCTACTGAGATGGTGTGGAAAGGAGAGGTAAATGTTGGGAGTTAATACTGGCCAGGTAAGAGGAAAACGGATCCAGCACTTAATAATACAGTGGTGCCTCGCTAGACAGTTACCCCGCATGACAGCTTTTTTTGCTAGACATTGACTTTTTGCGATCACTATAGCAATTCGCAAAACAGTGATTCCTGTGAGGGAATTTCGCTGGACAATGTTTGGCCCCTGCTATGCAAACCGATTTTCGCTAGACAATGATTTTGACAGCTCCCTCTGCGCTTGCAAAACGGGTGTTTTCGGGACCTAAGCTTCGCAAGACAGCTAGTTAAACAGCTGATTGGCAATTCGCAAAGTGGCTTTCCTATGGACGATCTTGGCTAGACAACGATTCTTCCCCATTGGAACGCATTAAACAGGTTTCAATGCATTCCAATAGGGAAATGCTTTTTGCTAGACAATGATTTCGCTAAACAGCGATTTCAGTGGAACGGATTATCATCGTCTAGCGAGGCACCACTGTACCTGGGTGGGAAAAGTGGGTGAAGCTCCACACGTACAGCCTGGGTCTTATAAGACCATTAGTGTAAATCAAGAAAGAGGCAGATCATATAGTTTATAGGAAGTACTTTATATCCCCCTCTCCAGGTACTGTTTTTCATTTTTGTACTGTATGTTGAGGGAGATGAATGATTTTGTTAGATTGTGTTTATAAATGGGGATTCTTCTGGAGCAGTGGTTCCCAACCTTGGGTAACCCAGGTGTTCTTAGACTGTAGTTCCCAGAATCCTTCACCACTAGCTGTGCTGCCCAGGGTTTCTGGGAGTTGCAGTCCAAGAACACCTGGGTTACTCAAGGTTGGGAACCACTGTTCTAAAAGTCTGCCTACTTTGTGGCTTTGCAGTCTCCCTGCCCAACTTGATGAAGCTGGTCTTGCTGTCAGCATTGGGGATTTTATAGGAGGTGATCCTAAGGGACTTCAGCCTTCATATTAAGGCTGCCTTTTCTGGAGCCATGTAGGGCTTATGGCTATAGAGACAATCATGGTGCTAACCAACAATGTCATAACCCCAGTATCTGATGCCAGATAGAGGAAGATGTAGGAAGAGGAGGATCAAGGAATTGAAGAGTTTTCTTAATTCCCTTGTCATGGTTGGATCACTTTCTTTTGAGTTTTAGGCATAAAGCATTAGTCCCTTGTGCATGTGTGGGAGACTTACAAAATTATGAATGATCTTTTCAATGGTGTGAGACAGTCCCTAAGAATCCCATCCTGGTCTGAACCTTACGGCCTTCTGGCCATAAATACTCCTTTTGTGATACGTTTTCAAGAGGGTTGCATGGGGAAGCAATTGCAGGCATTCATAGAGGATTTCAGTTATCTAGTCCAGCGGTCCCTAAACTTTTTAGCCCTGCAGACAGGCTGGGGAAGGTAGGGCACCCCCCCGCGCTCGTGCGCATGCACGAAGGGCGGTGCAGCGCTTGTGCGGGCATGTGCTTCCTTGTGCGCATGCGTGAAGGGTGGCACAGTGCTCATGTGGGTGCACGGACGCTTGCACGCAGGCGCAAACAGGCTGGGGGAAGTGCATGGGGGGGAGGTCTCTCCATGGCCCGGTGCCGGTCCGTGGCATGAGCCCGACCGGGCCACGGACCGGGGGCTGGGGACCCCTGATCTAGTCCTGTTCCAGTCTGCCTCCAGACATAATGTCAGACCTGAATCAGTTCCTTGTTCTTTGGAGCACACTACCTGTGCACCTTGGACACGAGCTGACCCTTCTGGGTTTTCAGCTCCTGAAAACATGTTGGCTGAAATATGCAACAGCTCCACATGTACAACAGGAACCATGTCAGCAGCATCAAAGCACCACTTATTAAAGGCTTCTTTTCATGATTTTGGAGTGTACAATGCAATGAAATTGTTTGTACCCTAAAACTGACACCGGATCTGTAATAATTTGCCATTGCTGGTATCATTTCCACTGCACACTTGAAACTGCACAACAGGATTTTAGTCATTGTTCCAGAAAGCTGTTTCTGAGTGGTTACATTTCCCTTCCTTACTACTATTGTTTTCAAGCTTTATACAATATTTTATTAGCTTACTTAATTTTTTTTTAAAGTCATTACTTGCAGAACCATCTGATAATAATTAGATGCCAGATGTCCCCAGTAATTCCTACTGATAAGGCTGGAGATAGATGTGAAAAAGTAATTTCTTCACAGGGACAGTAAACGGTTTCACATGCTGCTTCCCTCTGCAAGAACAGAATTCTTCAAGCAGTTCATATTGTATAGAAGAAAGAGACACAGATAAAGAGAAGAAAAAAATATTGTGAATGAGGGAGAGCAGAGAAGCGAAGGACCATGGGGAGGTGGACAAAGGGCTTCCTAGCCAATGCAAAACAGATACTTTAGCTAGTAAATAAAATTTGTTGATCCATAGTGACTATTGAAATTAGCAAGATCAACTAACCTTATACCTGATTCTTTTCCTAGGTTTTTGATGATTGCCATGAAGGTGGTGAGATATCTCCATCAAATTGTATTTATATGATGGAATGGCTGGAATTTTAATAGATGAAAGCCGTCAGCTGTGAGAATTTCTCATGACATGTCTTCATGAACCAATTAATTTTTTCATTTTGGACCCATTTTTTGTAACTATCGATTGTGGGGAATGGATAGATGGCTTGAAAAGAAAAACACACTCCATGCCTAGATAAAAAAGCAGCATATCATTTGTTCAATCGCAAAGCTTGCCTTTAGAAGTTGGAAATCTGTTATTAGACATTTTGAAAACAACTAGTTTAGCAAGAAGAAGAAGGAGTGCGACAGAAGCTGACTGAAGCACAATTGAATGTTTCCAAAATAAAGGTACTTGAATTCTCCAGACTAAAAATAGAATTGAACCAAACAACATAAACGTGTGTGACCTCCAGAAGAGCACTTTAGCACCTTAATAGACATAGTATTACAAGACTATCTCCTTTGTGATCATGTCCTGATGACATATGGTCAGGACACCAGTGGGTGTGAAATATTGGGGCCATATTTGAACAATTGGGAATAGCTGGGAGAGAGTACAAGAAACAGGCTGGAGTTATTACATTTGAACAGCTTGAGGGCAAGATCCCCACAGCACTGAAGCAGGACATGAAGGCACAACAACTCTCTTCTGTTGGAGGCGCTCAGTAACTGATATTAAAAGCTTCTTCCTTGGAATGTGGAAGTTTAATATCGCAATTGGGGACAGAAGCCAGTGATAGTTCCATGTTCTCTGATTTTTGCTAGTCCTCTTCTAAATCCATCTAAGCAAATGGCTGCTTATTGTGGCAGAGATCTCTAGTGAGTCAAATGCTACAACTTGCGTCTTTGATTTGCAGGACCTTTTAAAAGTTGTATTGTGTAGCATTTTGTGTGTTTGGTTGCTTTTAACCCTGTTTAACAAGCCATGTCTTCTCCATAATTGTGGATTTGCAAAATATCAAGGATGGTGACGGAACCTAGTTATTGAACCTTTATAGAGAAAGATATTTCCTTGGGTAGAGAAAAAGGATAATTTAACTAGCTAAGTTGGACAATGGGCAATGTAAGTGTGCCCTGGTCCTCAGTTTTCCATCAGATTTTGCATCTGCAACATTTTATTTGTTTCATCTTTCTGTTGATTCATTTTTGTTCTGGATTTGCTTGCCAGACATTTCTCTATTATGAAAATAAAGAGGGGCCTGGCAGTTGTGCATCCAGATTAGTGCTAGTAAACAGCACTTAATGAGAATTCTTTCTCAGGGGCAGTTTATATTGACACAGTAATCAAAGTGTACACAATAATTGAGTCAGAGAATAGCAGATATCACAGTAGAGCTTCTAACAGGAAATCAGCCCACATGGAACAAATAGTTCAGTGAATACTAAATGTGCAAAGCAGGTAATAAAAACAAAGTCTATGAACCAAGCTATATTCAGAAAAGGCAACATTACTCAAACTCACTTCAGCAGAGAGAGCAGCTCAACCTCTCCAAATATGCTGCAATAGTAGAGCCTGCAAAAGCTATAATGGTCTGGGTTCTGAGCTTATAGCTAACATGGAAGTTGGGGCTAAGCCAACTTACAGTTCTTCTAAAAGAAGAAGGGTGTGTGAAAAGATGCAGTGTTGTTCAAAAAGCAAGAAGGAGAGAAAGAAATCCAGGTAGGCTGTTGCAAAGGAAAAGGGACTCTGGAAGCTAACCCAGTTGGGCAAGTGGAAAGGCTTGTTGTAGTACATCTTGTGCCTTCTGTGAAGTGCCAGCCTAGATGCACTGTCTCACAAGCAAATGATGTGCTTGTTTTTTGCCAGGCTGTCTCAAAAGAGCCTGGCAGGGCATGGGGTGAGGCCAGAGAACAAGGGAGTGGCTCAAAAAAGAAATGCTAGCTGTGATCCTTTCCACTGGGGAAAGATGTGTCCAATGTGGCTGGGCCTCAGACCAAATTGAAGTTTTAAAATGCTACTCAGTCTTTCCTAGACAGCAGAGACATGAAACAAATCAAGGAAATATGGGAGGTGATGGGCATGTTACACAAGGAGGTTGATCCGAGGGATAGGTCAGAGTTGCAAAAATGACCCTTTTGGCTCTTGAAAAGGACCCGGAGAGTGCCGCAACTCTGGTTAATACAGCAAACCAGATGGTTAGGGAAGACAGAAGGCCAATCTCTGGAAACAGATCAGGAAACTGAAGACTGCCCTCTGATCTTTGGTGGGAACCTTAGGCGAGTCTGTCTAGATCTCAACCATATCTGAACCTTTCGTAACCATTTTCCCTTGCAATATGTCTCGGGCCAAAGGTGGGGTGAACAAAGCCAGTGTGGTGGGAGGAGCACCCTTTTGTTGATTATTATCCATATCGGAAAAGAGAACAACACCAATGCATAAGGTGGGTGGCCTTATCAATAGGGCACAGGCCAGGGCATGTGGTGTTGCCAAGTGTAGGGTGTCTTGGGGTGGGGAATCTCTTTTGCCTGGATGTACTTCCTCAGATAATCTAATCTGCATTTCCTGGAGTCTCAGGAGGAATATTATCCATAGTGGTGGCTAAGTGGTATTTTATTTCTGTACCTTCCTTAATATGGAGAGGCTTGTCAGCTGTTGATTATACTGTCTTTCATGGAATATGACAGCTCTCACAGGCAGGTTCCGAGTCTAACCAATAAATGGAACTTCTCAACAAATGTGCAAGCCTTAGCATGAACATTGTGGAGACCCACTTAGGTAACAGTCTTCCAATATCTTTATTTTTGAATTGTGGATTCATTTTGAACAAACCTAAATGAAGGTCAATAAAAACATGGGTCTCTTCCTGCTAATCTAGTTCGTGTGCAGGTAGCTTTCCAAGCAACTGTTCTTTACTGGACAGGCCACGAAATTGTGGACAGGAGAGGAATTATGAAAGCAGGAATTAAATTGGCGAGGGAGGCTGTGATCAGAATCCAGTTTATCTAGGCACAAAGTAATGTTATCCCTGTGTGTCAGGTGTTCTGCCTAGGCAATGAAGATTGTGCCACCAGTTGTCCAATTTCTGTTTTGACTGACTGGGCAGTGGGCCTGCAGAAGGGCTTCCTGAGTAGCACTTTGGTCTTGGCACGATGCGTACTACAAGTTCGTGTAATGTTGAGTTATGCAAGTGTAGTTACTCCACAGGATTATGGCCAATGAATTGAAATATGGTTCTGCATCATTTTAGTCCCCGAATTAGTATCCTCCTTTCTGGTTCAGTGCTTAAATTTTCAAAAAGTTGAAATAAATGTTTTTGGTAAGTTTGTGGAGAAGTGGTATGTCTCTATCCTCCCCCCCTTCCCCAGTTATGGAAACAGTTCACCCACTATATTTGAGCGGTGTTAGAACACCCTCTACTTGTCTGAAAAATGTGTTGCCTTGTGTTAAAATTCCACAAAACTCCTGTTATGAATAATAAAAAAATATTAATCTTTTAACATTGTCTTGTCCTGCTTTTGTTTGTACCCACACTGTCTTCATTTAGACTATAAGCTCTTTGAAGTGGGGACATGCCATTTTTGTTGTCCTGCAAGAAGTACATGTTGCTGTCTAAATAAACAAAGAACAGTCAAAGTAGACACAACACTTGTTTCCTTATAGATTAAATCTCCAGAAGGAATAGTGAAGCTCCTCCTTTTCTCAAGAGCGGTATACTCTTTATAGTCACTGTGGTTTATGTGTGCCAACAAGTCACTTGTGACTTACCAGTGACCATGATAGGGTTTTTAGTCTGTGAGATGTTTAAGGAGTGATTTACCATTGCCAGTCTTCCCCACTCCATAATAGTCTTCATGGCTAAGCAGAAATTTGAACCCAGATCATAATCACCAGCAAACAGAAATTTATCCAGAGATTGAAAACTACACATTGAACTTTAATTTGCCAAATTCACTAATGATTAGAAAACACTGGAAACAGATGTAAATGACTATTGCTTAATACATTAATTTTGATAGCTAACCACCAACACTAAATCGTTAGTTTTTTCAGAGTATGCCTCGTACATTAAATATAACAGAAAGTATTGTAGCAGAGGTGAAAAGAGGGTGAGGAGAGATAGGTTGCCTATTTTATTCGGAAGTGATCATGCTAATTTTTGTGCCATGAAATCTGCTGATTAAAGGCTAGGAGGAGCTGAAGGGAGGGACAGTTTGCAGCCGTAGGAAGGGCAATTCTTAAGAATCTATGCCAAGTAGATCAGATTGATTTCCGTGTGGTGGAATATCCAGGTCAAGTGTATAGGTTTGTCGTCATGCCCTGAGTCTGTGTTACCTCTGCTGTTCAATGAAAATAAAGCCATTCGTTTCCCCAGTTCTCTTGGAAGGCATTGTGTGGTTAGCCTCTTACCTCCCCTTTCCTGTAGGTGGGGTTTCCCTAGGAAACAGCCTTACAGGAAGCTGGGTGAAGCTTGCATTTCAATGGGCCAGACTGCAGGCATTTCTGCTCATACTTGAATCTCATTTCCGAGGATGGGGATTTGTAATAGAGAAGCAGCAGGACAACAGTTGCGCTTATCTAAAGATCTTATTCTTTCTGCAGCAGAGGACATAGGAACAGATCTTGCCTCCAGGGAAGCCTTGAGTGTCATCTTGGACTTTTAAGCCTATGTCAAGATTGCTGGTCTTCAAACAAACCGTGTGTATGGAAGGCCTTAACTGTGCTATGCTGTTACTCAGGAATATGTTTTTGGTGTTATATGTTCCTCTACTGTGGCCTTTATTTCTGTTGGTGGATTGTCAGGAAGTTATTACCTTGTCCGTGCAGTATCAGGTGTTGGAAGAAGTGCAGCCTGGTACTGTGTTGGGCAGGTTAGGTGAGGAAGTTGGCCGGACCGAGGGCAATTGGACCACAGGGACCTTCCAGCTGCTCCAGTCTTCTGCAGTGTTTCCTATACAGATGGACTCTCGAGATGGTTTGCTAAGCACGACAGGGAGGCTGGACAGGGAGCAGCTTTGCCACCATAGAGATCCTTGCCTCATATCATTCAGTGTTCTGGCTTCTAAATACTTCACTTTGATCCATGTGGAGATTCATGTCATAGACATTAATGACAATGGGCCTCAGTTTCACCAAACATCTCTGGAACTGGAGATACCAGAAAGTGTAATATTACAGACACGGATACCTTTGGATCGTGCCCTGGACTTTGATATTGGATCTAATGCATTGTGTTCTTACTTCCTGTCACCCAATGAACATTTTGCCTTGGAGGTAACACCTGTTTCTGATGGAACTCAGTGGCCAGAGCTGGTGGTAGTTAAAGAAGTGGATCGAGAGCTCTGCTCTTCCTTTGAGTTGGTCTTGACTGCAGTTGACCATGGAGTGCCACCTAGATCTGGATCCATCTTGATAACTATGACTGTGCTGGACTCCAATGATAACAGTCCAACTTTTGCCCAGAGTTCTGTGACAGTGGAGATCAAGGAAGATGCTTTGCCTGGCACTCTTTTGATCCAACTCACCGCTAGTGATCCTGACCAAGGGCCCAATGGAGAGATTGAATATTCCTTCAGTAAACATAATTCAGAACAGGTGCTGAAAACTTTCGCCATTGAGAGTCAGACGGGTCGTGTCCTCCTTCAGCAGCCAATGGATTACGAGGAGAATCTTGCCTATGAAGTGGATGTGCAAGCCAGAGATCATGGGGCCAATCCAGTTCCTGCCCATTGCAAACTTTTCGTACGTGTTTTGGATGTCAATGATAACACACCTGATATTCAGGTGATTTGGGCAAGAGAGAAAGCAGTGGTATTAGAAGCTCAACCCAAGGACAGCTTTGTTGCTTTGGTAACAGCATTTGACCCTGATTCAGGCAATAACGGAGAGGTAGATTGCTATATCAATCAAGGTGGGGAACATTTTAACTTGAGATGGATCAATCCTGGCAGCTACATGTTGCTGACTAATGCCCCCCTAGATAGGGAAAGCTGGGCAGAGCACAATTTGACCTTGCTGGTGCAGGACCGTGGGTCCCCCTTGCTGGCTGCAAGTAGACATTTCACTATTCATGTCAGTGATGTCAATGACAACATGCCCTGCTTTGAAACAAATCCTTACCATGTTTCCATTGCTGAGAATAATGGAATTCCTTCTCCTTTGGTGGTTGTCATGGCCCATGATGCAGACATGGGCCTTAACGGGGAAATTGTTTACAAAATCCCAGACCCTTTTGTTTCAGATTGGCTCACTATTGATACTAACAGTGGAGAAATCTGGGCGCACACCACTTTTGATGCTGAAAATATTGCCAGTTTTGAATTTACTGTAATAGCAGAAGATATGGGCCAGCCTAGGCTATCATGCAATGTTTCTGTGAAAGTTACTGTGCTTGATGTGAATGACAATTCTCCAGTGGTAACAAATCCAGAGATGGAAGCAGGCTGGGCAAGTATTTCTGTTCTTGTGGATCCTGACACTGGTTATGTACTGGTACATGAAGAAGGAGGCTCTCGGCTGACCCCCTCTGTGCAGGCTCCTTTACTTTTCACTATATCTGCAACAGATGCCGACTCCGGCTTGAATGCAGCGTTGCTCTACAACATCCAGAGTGGCAACGAAGCTGGCATCTTTGTCCTTGATCCCCATGCTGGGCAGCTTTATCTGAATAGCAGCAATGCAAGCAGCCTTGTGGACAGTGAATGGGACTTGGAGGTGTCTGTCTGCGATCGAGGAGTGGTGCCACTCTGCACCAGAATCCTTGTGAAGATAATATTCAGCAGACATGGTGAGCAAATGCCCGATTCTCTTGCGGTCGCCCAAGCCCTTAGCTCCTCTGTAGTGATTGGGATCTGCTTTGTGGGGCTGCTTGCCATCTCTCTGGTAAGCCTGGGGTTAATAATGTCCCTTTGTAAAAAGGAGAAGCATAATAATATGTCATACAACTGTAGGGAGGCAGAGCAAACCTATAGGCAACAGCTGCTGAAGAAGCCCCCCAAACCTATTGAGAAAGCTGACATTTTTATAGTGCCTGTGTTACGACAGGAGGATGCAGAGCAACCTCACACCAAGATAGAGACCCCCCTAGAAATTTCCTGGGTTGATGATGCCTTGGGGAAGCCATACCCCATGACTCCGACTCTATACAGAACTCTTAGAAACCAGCAAAATGAAACCAGCCTTTCTGAATGTAAAAGATTTGTTCTGCCTTCCATGCAACACACGCCTGGCTATGCTCCAAATGGAGGAGATCACTGCGCTCAGGAGATGCAGCCCCCGGATCCAAAGCCACATCCTGCCTCTGGGCCCAAGGACCCTTTGTCAGCGCTAGCCTCACAGCAGCAGGACAGGCTTCTTCCTAAGGCAGGCCCAGAGGAAGCTCAAAGTCGCCGGCACATCCTGAGAAGCCTAGTGAGGTTGTCTATGGCAGCTCTTGCTGAGCAAGGCCCTGGCGGACAGTTAACCATGGAATCCGGCTCTGTTCAGGTAAGAGATGCCTTCAGGGGCTAGACAATGGGGGATTGTGAGATAACGATATAAGACGAATCTCTTAAAGTCGATGCACTGTGAATAAAGTTAAATCATGTACTACCTTCTTTGTTTTTATTTATTTAACTATTTCAAGTAATCAGATGTCTTCTTAAAATGTCAGCAATGTTTATTGAGGGCCATAGGCCTTGTGCTACTCTGATATTGTCTTGTTGCTAACAGAGGTGTTATCTCAATCATCTACTGAATATGGGTGGCCTGAGCAACTAGCAGACTTAGCTGTGGGAATTTCACCCAAAATACTGTAGAGGATGAGAGCATTCCCTGTTTGGCCCAAGACAAGCTGGCTTGATGGGCACATGGGCGAGGAAACAATTATGCATGAGAAATTGGGAGGGGGACTAGACAGCAATTTTAATCCTATTTGTTCAGTTTACTTGTAGAATAGCATCAGACAACAAGAGATATCTGAGTAATGAGAAATTAAAATTTTAAGAAGTATTGATTTCAGTCCTAGATTAGTATAGACATATGAGTGCTTATTAAGATGTAATGCCAGTTGAGATTTATTTTGGTTTTAGCCACAAATATGTTCCCAGATTTTACAAATCACTGTCCACAGGAGTGAATCCTGGGGCAGTTACTGTCTTTTTTGTACCATTTTATTTTTATGGTTGCAAATGCCACAGGGAGGGGGAGGCAAGAAATTGGAAATCCCAGTTGTAAAGACTTGTTTGTTGTGTCGGAAATGCGTGCGTATATTTTCAAGTTGCTAATAGTCTTGGAACTGTCCAACTCCCCCACCCAAAAAGCTGAAAGATGTTTACAGTACTTCTGTTCAGAAGGCACATATTGGCTAAAATCATGTTTAGAGATGGGCACAAATCGCAGGTTTGGTGGTTCATGCTGGTTTGTTTTTTGGACAAACAGGTGTTCAGCACTTCCCAGCCCAGTCTTCCCCAGTGGGCACCCACTCAGAGGCAACACTTGTAGGAGCCAGGGCAGGGAAGCTGGGGCACTGCATCTTGAGTGGGTCCCCACCGGAGGAGACAGGGCTGGGAATTGCCAAACACCTGTTCATCCTAATGGCAAACCACCAAACTGGTGATTCATGCCCATCCCTAGTCCTATTGCTTAGCATAGAAATTTGCACTAGAGTAGGCCCACTCAATCAGTGGGGCTTTGGCAAGTCAGCTCGTGATTCACGCGGACCTATTATAGTTGTGACTTACTGTGCCAAAATAAGTCACAACTGGAATAAAGCCCATTTGAATCATGAAACTTATGGAGGAGTTGACTTACCAAATCTACATTGATTCAGTGGGCCCAACTCTAGTGCAATTTACTACACTAACCTTCAGGAACTCAGCCATTTCTAGCAAAGTAAGTCTGACTATATTCAAGAGAATGCACCTCTTGGATAGCTCAGTGAGTTGGGTATCTGACTGCAAACTGAGAGGCTTGGAATTTGATTCCTTACTGTGCATTCTAGTAGAGCCAGCATATGTAGCCTTGGGCAAGCTGCACATTCCCTAAGTACCCCTAGAAAGTGGGAATAGTAAACCATTTTTGGGATACTCCCTGTGGTGCAGTGGATAGAGATGGACTAGGACTTAGGAGGGTTCGAATTCCTGCTCAGTCACGGAAGCTCACTGGGGGTTTGGAACTGGTAAAATCACTCAAATATCTCACTTACCGCACCTTGAAAGTCCTATTAGGGTCACTGTATGTCAGAGTGGTACATAATGACAACAGTAACAAAATGACTTCTGAGTACTCTGTACCTGAGAAATCCTGGGAAGAGTTGCTAAAAGTAAGAATTTACTGTACTTGATGGCACATTTGAATAACTCTGCTACTGATGTCTAAATGTCGTTATATTTTATATTGTTATTATATATGTTGGAAGCCGCCCAGAGTAGTCAATTGACTAGATGGGCGGGGTATAAATGCAATAAATGAATAAATAAATAAAATAATTCTTTTGAACTGTTTCTCAGTCAGTGTGCTTAGATTACAACTAGGCTTCTCCAAACCGGCAACCATGTTAGTCTACTGCAGCCAAAACAACAAAGAATCTTGTGGCACCTTAAAACTAGCAAGTTTAATTTGGCATGAGCTTTCAGGAATGGTAGTCCACTTATTCACACGCATCTGGGTTTGTATCTTTGGTCATTAATGGAAGTGCAAGTCTTCCAGTTTTCCCAAACATGGCTACCTCCTTAGTCAGGTGTAACTGGAATCCTATACACACTTGCTGAAAGGTGCCAGATTTTTTGTTGGTTTAACTAGGCTTCTGCACTTGTAATTATTGGGAGGAATAGGTACATAACACATTCACTGTGTATATATATGCACACCAAGGTAATGGAATAGTGGCTGAGAATCATAACTGTGGGGAACAGCAGGAAGTCAAATGCAGAACAACACAAATTTCTGGAACTGGCAAGCTAATTACCACATGTATTATGACTTTAAACCACCAGAGTTGTCCCTGTCTTAAGTCACAGGGAATTGAACTGACCCTCTTGATGAGTTTTAATTCAAATGTCTTTGTGTTGCAGTCTGCCTTTCATTCAGTACAGCTGTATAATTAGCAATGATTGCTATGAATATGGAAGGAAGCTTCCCCCCACACACACAGCTGGCTGGCTTAGGTGGATCTTTTGTTACCAACAGACAGTCCTTTTCTTTGGGTGGATATCACAGAATGTGGAAGAACGTGAGACATTATATATAGCCTAAACGGTGCAAAGGGTGGGGGTGAGGATATCCTGTAAGGAAATGGCTTTGGAAGGAATTGTTTGCAATCACTGGCTTTTCCTATCTTTCAGCAAATCTCACAGTTGCTGTCTCTTCTGCATCAGGGCCAAGTGCAGCCCAAGCCCAATCACAAAGGGAATAAATACACTGCTAAACATGCAGGTTGTAGGTGAGTTTCATGCCTGCTACACCCTCAGCCTTGTAAAGCAGATTTTGCCTACTGTTAGTGTTACCTGTATTTATTGGTGGCAGAATGCAGCTGCTTAGCCACATATTCCCAGCATATTTCCCTTTTACATCTGTCAAGCTTACCTTTCTTTTCATGGGCCCTTCTGTGCTTTTGGGTTGCCTTTCATTTTTCTGGATCAGCTCTTATACCTTTACTAAATATTTGACACATTGGAATTAAGGCATGTATTTTATCCTGGCTTGTATTTGCTTGGCAGGAAATATCCCTAGAATTAACCATTGTAGTTGAAAATCCACCAGGAAGTCTAATCTCTGCCATGAACCCCTTGTAATATCAGGAAGAGGCCAAGAACTTTTTTAAAAAAAGCCAAACAGAAAAATAGTACAGTAAGATTTTCAGGAGCTATCTTGCTGTATAATGGCAATGTCTCAGTAATAAACTTTCTTAAACTGTAAAACATAGGTAATTGGTGGGCAAAATGCCCCCCACAGTCCAAATATGTTCCCCAGCACACTTGTAGCCTTCAAACCTTCTCCCAAATAATATATATAAAAAATTGGGGTGGTGGTGAATTTTGGGAAATTGGCTCTGGAATGTCCCATTGTACCCACCAGGTGTGGAGAAAAGGCTTTGCTAATCTCATCAATAACTTTGAGGCTCGGAGGTAATTTTTGTTGGGGCTGTAATATGGGGTGGGGCAGGGTGTAACTTCTCCCAGCCAATTGCTGTAACAGTCCAAAGAGCACTTAATTTATTTTTAACAGACAGGAAAGCATATTACAAACATATATTTACCTGTCAAACAGCTCATTCATCCTGCAGATGCAAATTTAACAGACAGAGATGCTTACTGAGAAAGTGCTGAGGCTTGGGAGCACATCAGATACTGAACACACGTTTGTTCATCTCTTTTTATTTCACACCAGTTAATTAATATGCACATATCAACAAGCTACCTCAGATCAATCAACACAGACAGAATTTTTGTACCGTTTGAAATCAACTTAAGCACAATTGAGGTGGTCTTTAGGTTTTGGTGAGCTTATCTGCACTATCAGCAATAGCTACTCAAGAATACCAGGAATGATTGACCAGACAAAAAATGAAGGCCATCTTTGAGGAACTAATGGGAAATTTCCCTCTGGCTGAAATGGTTGTGTGAGCAACGACTGTTGCTTGGTGAGAGGGCGAGTGAGCAGGCCTTTCCTCTGTTAGCAAAGGTAGGTTGACTTAGAATGGAACATTGAAAATTCAGATATGATGCTGCCATCCGGCCAGTGCCCTGTAACTCCTTACAGACTGCTCTGGTAAAGCCTTTTCTGGTCATATGCTTATATCTGGGCATACACTAAATAACAGAGCATTCAGCAGTGGCATTTTTCTTCCAGGTGCTTCCTGTTAGCACTGCCCCTTCTAACCCAAAGTCATCAGCTGGTACCCACTCATATTGCCATAGTGACACCAGTTTTGAACACATTACATTTCAATGTAGCCAGCTTGCACAGGATTTTGATTCATCAAGCGCCAAACAATGAAACAATACACATTCACAAAATTATTCAGAAATTGCCCAACAATATCCTGATATAATGCTGCAGCTGCAGCACGCCATCTCAGCTGTAATAAGGGGAAAAGGACCTTTTGATTAAGTTTCTGTAAGAAGTTAGAATGCACTTGTGTTTATCAACAGATGATCCTTGCTCCCCTTCATGGAATTCAGTGATGCTGTACATACATTTTAGTTTCCTCTGAGCAAGGAAGTGGTAGATTAAATAGAACATAAGGTCGTGAGCTCTCCAATGTTAGAGGCATACATGAGAAAATGAACAGGGGGTAGGACTTGATGGCCTTATAGGTCCTTTCCAACCCCATTATTATGTGATTGTATGAAACATTTGGTATCTGCTTCTGTTTAGTTTGATTGTGAAAACCTAGTCAACCTCACTGTATGAAGCTCCTTCTCCTCCACAGGAACCACCACCCAAATGTGGAGGATCTCATCACTAATGAGGGCAGTGATAGCAAACATCATAACCTGGAGCTGCTCGGGGAAGAACTTGGAAACCTACTGCATAGCCCATCAGGTGAGATATGCTTACACATATCCTCCAATTTAGTGACATTAAGGCTTGAATTCTGTTGCTTACTGTAGTAAGTCATACTAGAGTAGGCTTACTGAATCAGTGAGGCTAGTTCTCCATGACTTCCATTGATTCAGTGGGACTACTCTACTTGTGACCTAAAATGTTAAAGACAGTCTGTTACGAGTAGGCCGAATCAATGGAACTTACAGAGGAATTGATTTACCAAATGCCCACTGATTTAATGGGCCTGTTTTAATTTGGCTTACTACCTTAAGCAACAGGATTTGAGTCTGAGTCTCTGAAGCTGTATCATGAATGGCCTGCTATCTTCCTGTGCCTGTGAATGAGAAGGTTGAGGAACACAATAGTGAGTCAGACTTTAAGGCACCTCCTTTCACTTAATGCAGGGGTCTCAAACATGCGGCCCGGGGGCCATTTGTGGCCCGCCGGATGATAATTTGCGGCCCCCGCCTTGCCTGCCCTCCCTGAAGCGCCCACATGTCCTCTGCTGTCAAGAGTCAAAAAAAGCCTTGCCTTGCTCGCCGGCTCTCTCCCAAGACAGCGCCTCTTGCACCCTCCATCCAGAATTGCAGCCTGCCAGCCAGCCCGCCTGTCTGCTGGCTGGCAGGCTGCAGTTCCGGATGGAGGGTACAAGAGATGCTGTCTTGGGGGAGAGCCGGTGAGCGAGGCGCATTGCCCGCCCTTTTTATTAAGGCTTGAATTCTGTTGCTTACTGTAGTGAGTCATACTAGAGTACGCTTACTGAATCAGTGAGGCTAGTTCTCCATGACTTCCATTGATTCAGTGGGACTACTCTACTTGTGACCTAAAATGTTAAAGACAGTCCGTTACGAGTACGCCGAATCAATGGAACTTACAGAGGAATTGACTTACCAAATGCCCACTGATTTAATGGGCCTGTTTTAATTTGGCTTACTACCTTAAGCAACAGGATTTTGGTCTGAGTCTCTGAAGCTGTATCATGAATGGCCTGCTATCTTCCTGTGCCTGTGAATGAGAAGGCTGAGGAACACAATAGTGAGTCAGACTTTAAGGCACCTCCTTTCACTTCACGTTTCTGTCTGTAATGCATACTCTGTGATGATACAGTCATGTATTACCCAAGTAGGCACAGAAAACAAAATATTGCTAGGATTTTTGTTGAGTGACTAAAAAGTATCCCCAGGCCTGTATCTTATTGCCTGCATGTAGGGTGGAAGGGCAAATTGTGTTGGCGTGCCTTCCTAGCCTTGGAGGCTCCCTGGTGTATCCCTAAATTCATGGTGCATACACAGTTGCTCCACATTCAGGCAACAGAATACTGCCCATTGTGCACAGCTTATTCTGCTTCTGCTAGGAATACGGGAAAAGCAAGGAGTCATGCCGGACACTGAAGCTTCCTCCCCACCACTGAAAATCCTATTAGGAGTTTTCACCCTCTGTTTGGAGATTTCAGCAAGCGTTGGAACCCTCAGAGCTGGACACCTTCCATTTCATAAAAAATTGTTGAAACGATCAGGATGCCAAAGTCCACAATCAATACTTGCACAGCATTGCAGAACTCCTGTGGCCTTGAGTTTATCCATCCAAGTGACATTAGTTACACTGACGTTTTCTTCCCTCACCCTGTAGGACTGGATCTAGACCAGCTGACTGAGGCAGATCCAGCATGGATGACCAGGCTGTCTCTTCCCTTCTCAACTGACTATAAGGACAATGTTGTCTCACCGGGTGCTCTTCCGTTTCCGCTGAACCAGGAAACCACAAGCAGAGATGAACCTCACACTTTTGAGACCTTTGGCAAAGCAAACGGATGCAAACTGAGCACAGCAGAGCCCAGGCTGGCCAGCACCTTCCTCTCAGAGATGAACAATCTGTTTGAGATTATCTTGGCTCAGAATGTCAGCCCCCAGAGGGACTCATCGATGGAGTTCTTTCAGCAAGTCCAAAAATGTAGCAAGATCCTAGATGTAGATAAAGATACTGTGGGGGCTTAAATTGACAGTCCTTTGAGCAGTGTAACTGATAGCTGCAGCAGAAAGGGTTTGTGAAGAAATTCCATGAAATCTCAACATCCAGAAACAGAGTACCAATAGCTCAGGGAAAACAATGTTTTAAGAGGGAGGATACTTTAGACATATTTCACTTCTTCCTTTCCAGGTACCATCATCTAGTTCCCCTGGCCTTACCTACTACAGTATGTGCTCCTCACTGACATGGAATGATAATTGCAGAAGGAATTACGCTTCCTCCTTTGCAAGGAAATGGTGTGGAAGGTCTCATTGTGGCGAATAGTGACGAGTTAATGAAAAACCTTTTGGAGCACAGGTGTTTTTTCTTCTTGTTGATTAATTTTTATGATTGCAATGACATAGGAGCAGGAACAAGAAAGCAAGGCTCAAAGATACTACTGCCTTTTGATCTGACAGGACACATAACAGGTGCTCCTAACTTAATATCAAGTTTTCATTTATATAAGTTGCACAGAGAAACTACCGCAAAAATAGTTTTTTTGAAAACTAAAGGCAACACTCAAAACCCAACATTCTTTAAAAGTAACTTTTAAACTCTGCTGTTTTCTAGCACATTAAAACTGCTCTTCTGTAAAGCTGGAACTGCTAATACTACAGAAAGGATTAGAATTTTTGAAAGACGTGACTAGAAATCTGTGTATTTGATGGTAATATTTTGGACCTACAACTTGAATACTGTCTTTCTAAGTTCAATTTTTTAGAAAAATCAGCAACAACCAGCTTCTTTGAAAAATGTAAAATTCTTTGTCTAATAATTTAAAAAAAGCAATTCTAGTGTACTGAGTGCGACAGTAAGACTCCTTCTGTGATGCAGTCCAGACTATAGTGTCAGTCTACAGCTGCCTAGATAGCAGAACTCATTTTAAAAAAATTATTTATTATACTTTTATCCCCTTGTTACACGGATCTTCAAGTCCACAATTGTTTTAAGATATGTTCAGAGAATCATATAAGTGTTATCTTGCATTGAGCGCTTTTTTTTGAGAAACCTGTTTATTATGTATTCTAAACCATACAACATCTGTATTATACAGTATTCACTTTCGTAGCTTGATTGTTCCTGAGAAGAGTTCGGTTGCCTGTTTCTCCATGATCAAGTGGTGCCTAGATGTTTTCCCCCTAAAGCACTGCCTTTCTGAGGTGTAGCAGTTAAGTCCTGATAATAATTCTGATGTCAGCAAGGCACCTTCTTCTAAGGCAAATGAACACTCATTTTGCTGAGGGTAGTGGACAGTATATGATAAGAGAAGATGGGAAAGAGAAAGTAAGATAGCTCATCCGTTTTGCTTTATTTGGCTGCATCATGCATTGTTAGAGCTCTGTAAGTGTAATAGTTTTTTTGAGAACTATCATCTTAAAAAGTATACATTTAGGAGAAGATAAAAAAATATATATACTTGAAATGTTTAAGTGATTTTGTTAACCAAGACGACAGGCATCATCTTCCAAAAGTCTGAGAAGAAAGCTTCCTCATTAGGCCTATTAGCCAATTACTGTTCCTGGGGACCAAGCTAGGGATTGTAGCCTGAAGGTGAGACCATCTGAGAAAGCTGGACTAGGGATGCCATGTAAAGATCCACCTGCGAAGTCACTGAGACTTCCTGTGCTCCAAGAGTGAAGTAGGCCAACAGCTGGCTGCCCCACATGCGAAGCCAGTGGCTGATCCAAGCTCTGAAGGCAGGGGCTGGATGAGAAGTTTCTTGCTTGCAGTGGTGTCTGGTGCCAACGCTTCACTGTTAAGCACGAAAAAGTATACGAAACAATTGTTACAACCACATTAGCTTGCACTCTCAAGGAAAAACAGTAGACATGACTAAATGTTGATCAATATCTGAATGATCTCTTTTTTGTACCAAAGCAAAAAGCCACAAAGTGTTCTGCTTATATACCGTCCCATTGCGCTTAAAGCATTTTACCGACCTCAGAAGGATGGAGGACTGAATCAACTTTGAGCGGCTACCTGGGCTTGAACCCCGAGTCACAAGTACAGTTTTAGTTGCACTACAGCAGTTTAACCACGGCGCCACGAGACAATGGGCCACCACTCATATTGATACTCATTCCCAGCTGAATGTTTTTTTCTTGCCCATGCTTCCTTATTTCCTGGTGCATCCTATTCTAGACACCCTCCAACATCTTTTTCCCACTGAGCTGGCCTCCCAATCAATACCTGCAATCTCCTCTTCTGTTGTCACTTCCGTTTTCTCATCCGCAGGTCTGTTCCTTGCAGATGGTTGCTGATGTTTTTGATGGATTTCAAAATGCTTTTCATAGCCATCACCCAAACGAAATCTGCATGAAGAATCCTGCATGCAAACACACAAGTTTAAGAGGATAGGCATAACTGAAGAAATAAGCCATAAATATCACTGCAACTCTGTGCATCTGATAAGAAGCATAATTCTTGTGATTGCAAATTCTAGAACTGTAGATTCCAGCAAGGCACAGGCTTGGCTATGAACTGGGGTCTTGGAGACTAAGGCATACTATTCATATTACTAAACCATTGCTATGGTAGGGGGTGGTGGCCATTCTTGTACTTAAGACAGAAGAGGCCTTCTGTTGACATGGAAAGAAGCTACACTGCTTAGATTTCACTTCTACCAAGATAATGTGAACAAAGGGTCACATGCATGGTTTATTTGGGATGAGCAGGAAGTTTTAGTTCATTAAGAAAATAGTGGGTACAGTGGTGCCTTGACTTAAGAACTTAATCTGTATTGGAACGATGGCTGTAAGTCAAAACGTTCGTGAGTTAAAGCACCATTTCCCATAGGAATGCACTGAAAACTGATTAATCTGTTCTGGCTGTTTTTTGTCCTTATGTGAAGGCACGTGATTAAAGTCAAAGCATTAGTTCCCATAGGAACGAATGCAAAGCCAGTTAATCTGCACTCTACCACTAGGGGGAGAATTTTTTAATTTTTTTTCTTCTTTTGACCTTAGATGAACTTAGGTAAAAAATAGGGCAGGCGGGTTTTTTTGTTCGTAAGGCAAGGCATAGTTCGTAACTCAAAGCAATATTTCACATCCGGAGCTGTTAGTAACTCAAAAAGTTTGTATGTCAGGGTGTTCGTAAGTCAAGGCACCACTGTATTTGAAAGCACCATGCATTTTTAGACAGACACAGAATGCTGACAATCTCTTCTCTAACCGGCAGTTACTTGGGCATAGACGCTTTGTAAATAGTGTGTTCCTTCAATGATTCACACAACGATGAATTTTTTGGAACCAATTAACATCGTTGTGCGAGGCACCACTGTATTAGTAAAAACAAACTGCACATCTAAAAATTACGCTCATTCTGCAAGACTACAAAGGCACTGGTCACTCTAGAAGTCAGAAATACTTGCTTATGTTTGATTACATTTCCAATGTTTCATTAGATGTTAATACTAAGGAAATGTCTTCACTGGACTGTTTTATTATATCACATACTTCACGTAAATCAGAAAACAGGCTTATTCTAGAAAATGTCTTACCCTACTACTCCCGGCTGTCATGTGCAAGCATTTCTGTACTCTCTGCTTCCCAGGCTCCATGCCCTTCAGATGGAGCATCCCAAGATAGGCTTGTGCCTGGAATAAAGAAAAGTGTTTGCTAGCTTTTCATACCAGATGTCTAGACTTCCTGGCAAGAGGAAAAAACCTATGGTCCAGCTAAAGTGAGGCACTTGTAGGATGCAATTTTAAGAACACTTACCTGGGCATACATATCACTGACCACAAATAAACCAAAACAAAACCATCTGTATTCCGGAGAAATGGGTTTAGGGTTAGGTTAACCTATGTTTTTCAATAGAATATATAAGCATGTGTTTATCTTTGCTTGCATGAGTGTAATATTAAAATATTTTAAAGCCTTTAAGCTCTGGTTAAACAATATCAGTGAGGAGTAGCCATCTTGGTGAAGCAGCAGCTGTCATGAAGAGAATACAAAGGAATAAGCAGTGGCAGAATAAGACAGTGCCAAGGCCGTATAAGAGACGTCATGTTCAGAGCATGGAATTAATATGTTAATGGTAAAATCATTACTTGTGTGCTAAACAAGAAGCATGCATCTAGTGTTAAAACAACAGTTTGAAAGTCATGTATTAAGATTAAGACAGTTGCTGTATTTTCAGGATGCATCAATTGGCTTATATTCCTGTCTAACTCAGAAGTACTGGTTTTAATATTTATTTATTTTTTATTTTATTTAACTTATATGCCACCCACACTACCCAAAGGTCTCTGGGCAGCTTACAACAATTTAACTTCAATAAAAAGATAAAACAATTAAAATACAATTAAAAATACAGTAGTCTAAAAATTGCCATCAGGACCCACAGTTGATATTATTTCAATTAAAAATCTTCTGGAACAGAAAGGTTTTGACCTGGCGCTGAAATGTCATCAACATTGGCGCCACACAAATCTCCCTCAGGATGTCGTCATCAACATCGGTGCCAGACGAATCTCCCTCAGGATGGTGTTCCATAGTATGGGGATGGCTGCCGAAAAGGCCCTTTGTCTACAAGCCATCCCTCCTAGCTCTTTTTTCTGTCTACAAGCCATCCCTCTTACCTCCTAGCTCTTTTTTCTCGCATCCACACATAGACATCACTGGCATGGGCCAATCTGCCCCAGCGAACATCTTTTTGATTCTACTATTTTGGTGCAAGTTGGAGGGTCCAGTTTAGTCCATGCCCAGTGAATTGGGTTGCCTGGTACAGACTAAACTAGAGCCTTGCACCTCTTTCCACTGTCAACTTTCTTATCAGGCATTTCATGTTAATGGAATTTGAACACTTTCCCTGATCATCTGCAGAGGGGTAGGGGAAGTGAAATTAATTTTATTGCATCTGCTAGATAGTTGTTGATGGGATGAATCATCTTGATTAAATCATTTTTTTTCTGTGCTTGTGCTGATCATCTGCAGAGGGGTAGGGGAAGTGCAATTATTTCTATTGCATCTGGTAGATAGTTGTTGATGGGATGAATCATTTTGATTAAATCATTTTTTTCTGTGCTTGTTTGATCAGGTTCTTCAAAAACTGGAGGCGGTCCCCTTATTTGGGCGGGAATAAGAACCGGAGACGATTTTAAAAATTTAACAGAATCCTTTTTATTCTCAGTAACAGCAACGTCAACCAACTCAAACGGATCAAAGCAACTCAACTCCGGTAAAGTCTTGTAACTCAGAATCTTCCCCTCTGGAGTAAATATATCGCTCCTCACATCAGGGCCGGGCCAAAACACTCCCGATCGGTCATCGCCCGCAAGGGTGTACCCCTGACTGCGCAGACCGTTCCGCAGCAAGGGTGTCTCGCCCAGTCCCCTTCGAGGGGTGGCTTGTTGAAACAGGGACTGGGGCGAATCACCTTCCTCCCCTCATACTGGTTGCGCGGGTAAACCACTACAGTCCATTCTAGCGGTGCAATCTTTACGTCATCAGGCTTAGGTAAAGGGGGGGTCTGGGAATAAACCCCCACCTGTCTTTAGGTTGGGGAACTCCTCTATTAGACTTCTGACCTTATCTGCATCTTCCTCCTCTCTGGTCTGTACTGTACTATCTCTTGTATGCCTCACCGTTCCGTCCGTTACAATTCTAAACTCCCGCACCTCTTTCTCCTCTTTTATTACCTCCTCCCACACGATGAGGTCTAGCTCCTTCTGCTTGTCATCTGCCAAGCACACTTCTAGAGCTTTCCTCTCCTCCTTCTCTATCTCTACCAGTACGCCTTTCAAGCATCCCTGATTCTTCTCGGAGGTATGCTTTGATGAGGACGGCACACCAATGTCTCCTCCTTCACAGCTTGCCTGTGTATTGCTGACGGAAACCATGACTGCAGACAGTTTCTCGATCGGCAATATACAGAGGCAAAGAAAAATGTAGCTTTAAATTTAATTGAAGTGATTCATTGCATCAGTGACAATCTAGCAGACATTAAAAAGACCATTTCCCCAATCCTCAACAGATGATCAGAGGAAATATTTAATTGACGTGAAGGTCGATATACCATTTGAATGGGGGGGAACATGCCAAATGGCACATCACTCCTCCCTGACCCCAGCCAAACTTTTTGCAGTCCAATCCAGCTCAGCCAAACCTCCTGCAGTCCAATCCAGCTTGCTCCAAAACAGTCAGTCTGGACATGCCCTAAATCAGGGGTCTCAAACATGCGGCCCGGGGGCCATTTGCGGCCCACCGGGTGATAGCTTGTGGCCCCCGACTTGCCTGCCCCCCCAAAGTGCCCACGTGTCCTCTGCTGTCAAGAGCACCTGTGGGGGCCCCACCCCGTTCTGTTTAATTTCGCAGGTACCGGTGGGGGCTTTTCTCCTTTGGCAAGGATAATTCTGTGAGGTATTTTTTTAATTTTATGTCTTGCCCTCCTCCCCACCCCACTAGGGGGTTGCCAGTGCTCCCTCCCTCCTCCACTTCGTCCTGCTGCTGCTGCTGGTGGTAGTGAAGAAGGAGCCAGAGGGGGTCGTGGCTGGCGACGAGGGCTCGCGCACCCCTACTCCTTGGAGCCCCAGCCGGGCTAAGGAAACTCCTGGGCGGCTTCCTTGGGCTCTTGCTCCACTTGGTGAAAAATCTGATGCGGCCCAGCCTCACCCAGATTCTGCCTCCAGCGGCCCCCAGGTAAATTGAGTTTGAGACCCTTGCCCTAAATCATCCCTGTTGGTTAGAATCAAGCAAAGGATAGCTAACTGCTGGATAGCTCAGTGGTTTAGGCATCTGGCTATGGAGTCAGAGGTTGGGAGTTTGATTCCCCACTATGCCTCTTTGACAGGGGCAGGACTCAATGATCCATAGGATCCCTTCCAGCTCTGCTGTTCTAAGGTGGTGGTTGTTTATTTATTTTTATTTATTTATTTAATTTAACTTACATGCCACCCACACTCCCCAAAGGTCTCTGGGTTGCTTACAACAATTTAAATGCAATAAAAAAACTACCAACATTTTTGACCAAACTCAGGA